GGAAGGGACTAAGAACACGTAGGGATTTTATTTTCACTTGGGAACTTGGACTATCAGAAAATACCATGATTGGATTTTACAACTCTTGTTGAGAACAGAACAACATGAAACTACCCATGTTAGAACTTCAACTTGTGCCACTAATTCAGTCCACCTGGGATGTCCTGCACTGGCTCTTATGCAAACCGCGAGGCGACTGTTACCGATGCTAATTGTTCACCCCCGGAGGAGGGCTCAGCTCCATGAAATATTGCTATTTAAAGTACCACAGCATGTGCTTGGTAGTGTACATTTGATTGCTGCTTTTTGTTTCTTAAAACCAAGAAAAACAAAAAAAGTTGGTGTCATTGGAGTGGACCACGCACTGCATTTCTGCCTTCTTAACACGTTTTTGTTTTGTTACATCTTACATTATGCAGAACTATTTTTGTACAAAAATTATTTAAAAATTATTTATGCAATGCTTGAATGCATTACCAGTGTTGCGGTTTCAATTGCCGATTTTTATCTATTTATGGTAAGCGAGAACTTAACTTATTGTCGTGGTTTAACCCCAGCAGCAGCCAAGAACCAGCAGCCACTCACTCACTCCCCCACCAGCGGGATGGGGGAGCGAATTAGAAGGGTAAAAGCTACAAAAACTCATGGGTTGAGATAAAGACAGTTTAATAGAGAAAGCAAAAGCTGCACACACAAGCAAAGCAAATCAAGGAATTAATTCACTGCTTCCCAAAGACAGGAGATGTTCAGCCATCTCCAGGAGAGCAGGGCCCATCACGCGTAACGGTTCCTTGGGAAGACAAACACCATCACTCCAGATGTTCCCCCTTCCTCCTTCTTCCTCCCACCTTATACACTGAGCATGATGTCCTATGGTATGGAATATCCCTTTGGTCAGTTTGGGTCACCTGTCCCAGCTGTGTCTCCTCCCAATCTCCCATGCAGCCCCAACTTCCTTGCCAGTGTGGCAGTACGGAAAGCAGCAAAGGCCTTGGCTCTGTGTAAGCTCTGCTCAGCAATTACAAAAACATCTCTGCATTATCAACTCTGTGTTCTGCACAAAACCCAAACATAGCCTCATACTAGCCTCTATGAAGAAAGTTAACTCTACTTCAGCTCAAACCAGCACACCTATACTTCGTAGACAGTATCTATCTACAAACGTGCCCAGGTCAGGAAAAGTAGGTTCATACTTTCAACTTAAAGCATGTTTTAATGGAAGTTTATATCCTGCTTTGTATACTTCAGAAGTGACATAAGCATGTTGTGGAAATAAGGTGTAAATTATAGTTGAAGTAAAACACTTTTATCTGTATAGAAATCACCTTTTTCTCAAAATTTTAAAAAAATTCCAATTTCAGCTTTTGCACATAGGAGGGTTTCACTCTGTAGCATGAGCTCTTGTACTCAATATGAAATTAATTTATACAGTGAGTCCAGCAGTAGAATAAATGGTCAAACGTAGCCTCTCTTTCTTTGAAGTGTGAGTTGAGTTCTCATTTAAGTTTTATAACATGGTTATTTCCTGATTGTAAAATTCTGCATTCATAAGTGCCATTGTTGTATGGTGTTGTTTTCGTAGACCTTCCTGATGCAGTTTTACCTTTGTTGAATTTGTATAAACAATTGTACAAAAACAGGGACTGGCTCTGGGGGTTTCTGTTCTGCTGTGGGGTGTGTGTAGTGGCTGGTGAGTCCTTAGTCTTTGGCCTATGTCTCTAGTACTTCCTTAGTAAAAATGTACTAAACCATCTGCCTCTGCGTTCCTCCAGCAGAGATCTGCCTGGGTTAGGCTCGAGAAGCACTGACATCTCAAGGAGCACATCAGAGCTCGAGCCAAGTAACTGGTTAAGAAACGAGACAGATGCGGAGAGCCCATCACCAGTCTTTATTAAACTTGAGTGGCTAATGAACAGCATGGAGATAACACCGAGGGCATGTCTGTCTTCATTAGCCTCCCCCTGGACACACGCCAGGAATTACGTGCCATTAAAAAGTACCTTCTAAAAAATAAAGCCATTGCTCCCTTCTGAAAAACACCCAGCGGGGCTCAGAGCTGTGTTTGTGTGAGGAGGAGTGACTTTCTCTCTCAAGCCAGCTTCACTGTTCACATAGAGAACAAGAGCAGGTGCCAGTGTAGCAGAGGTACGAGTTCTCGGGTCCTACAGCTTTAGCAAAGCACAGCCCTGGCTCTGGTACTTTGCTGGCACATGGGAAAGCAAAGGAAAAACTCTCTTTGGTAAGCAGTTGATTGGAGAATAACTGTCTACAACAGACATGGTCTTTTCTCACCGTTTGTTTTTTTTACGGTGAACTTAACAGTCACTGCAGTGGTAACCTTGGCCACAGGCATCCTGTTTCCCCAACAGGAGTGACTCTGGCTATGCATTTCCTCAGGTCCTCACTCCTAGGCATCCTCTGAGGACAATCCCTGCTCCAGGAAGAGAACCTGTGCCCCTGCTGCTGGCACAAAGCCCAAGGGCTGTGGGCACACAGGGCCCTCAGCAGCCCAGGGGAAGCTGGCTTGGGTGAAAGTCCGTGAACAGGTTTTTGAACAAAAACTGTGTTTCCTGTCCCTGCTTGTGCCCGGTCCCTCCCCAGTTAAGGTCAGTAACGCCATACATTCCACAGGTTAGCAGCAAGGAGGTGGTGACCCTGATCAGTATTCACAGTAACATCAGGCTGTCGGCACATGAGTACAATCATCACGGGTTAATAGTTACCACAGGCATGAGCGGATTAAGGACCACACTATAATACCCTTTATAAAAAAATACTTTAAACTAGAAACCACTTAGGTCCTGGTGTTTGGAGCCCACGTGGCAGAGCCCTGCACAGTGCGGAGTGTTTTGGACAGTGGCCGAGAACAGTCAGGACAGCACGTGTGTCACGAGCCATTCGGAGCGAGCGGTCGCTGTGGGGTGAGATTGCTTAAGGGCTTCTGTGCAGGTGAGTTCATGGCAGTGCTGCCTCCAGCCGTGTCCAACACGGGCCCTGCTGCTGCAGGGACAGTGTCAGAGCAGGTACATTCTATAGGTAGGGAAAAGCTGAATATTCAACTGATACAGTCATTGCTTCTAATGCACTAGACAACGGCACAGGGGCTGATAGGCTCAAGCAGAGGTGTTTGCTGACCGCGTGCCGAGTGCTGGCTGCGGAAGGACAGGCGAGCTGCTTCGGGAGAGTGCAACAACTGCTGTAAACAGTTTGACTCAACGCTCTGTGGGTGACAGGGCCAGGCGGGCAGCGCACGGGCAGGCAGTGCCTCGGCCTGCCCACCCCTGCAGGAGGTGGTAGGAAAACCTTTTCCAAACTCTAGATCCGACGTGAGTTCCAAAGGTTGTGTTTAGGCGCCTGCCCCGGGGCCGAGCCCCTCCCGCCGTTAGGATTTGAAGACGTGCACAGCTCGCACCACGTACTGGCGGCAGATGGGGCACTCGCTCATCCTCTTGCCGCACTTGGTGCAGGTGACCATGTGGCCACACTCCAGCAGGACACAGTCGATCACAGCGTCCATGCAAATCCGACACAGGTTCTCGTCATCGTCCTGCAGCTGCATCCTCTCACCCTCTGAAAGCCAACAGAGGGAGGTCACACCTTGGGCCCTGCACCGAATCCGCGCACAGCTGCTCTCCGGGCACGGGAGGTTTTCTCCCCACCCCCCAGCTAAGAATTGATATATATAGTCCTCTAAAAAAAGCAAAGAAATAACGACTAGAAAGCACCTAAGTGAACATCCAGTGTTTGACTTCATTCTTTAAACTCAGAAACCATTTTCAATTCAGAATGTAGTGACTGTGAGCTAAGGTGCTGGATTAAAATGCAGAGCAGGTTCCTCCCATCTCGAAGCTCACTGTTGGCAGAACACTTTCCTCAGAAGATTAAACACAATAATAATAAAGCAGACTAAGAAGTGGAGCCTTAAGTAGGGCATAAAGGCGACAGGACTGAACAAAAACTGTCCCCATCAATAACGGCATGTTTCATCAGACCACGGTGAAAAAATAAATCCTAAGTTTAA